GAGGACAGTGCTACAGTGCAGTGCTTGTTTTAAGTCACTGAAGTTTCAATGGAATTCATTGGAACTTTGATAGGGATTACATTAAATTTGTATAGTGCTTTAGATAGGATGGCCACATTGGATGTGTTAATTTCTTATTTTTCCAGTCCCATGAATATATCTTTTCATTTTCCATTTTCCTCTTCTATTTCTTTAAATTGTGATTTAAAGTTTTCTTTATACACAAAAAGCTTTATGTATATGTCTTTCAGATCCTTTGTTTATTCCTAGATATTTAATGTTTTTGGAAGCCTATTTTAAATAATTTATCATTGGGTTTTAGTCATATAATGTCCAATACCCAACACCAAATCGAGAACAACTTTGTAACTATATATCTCACAGTGATTCAATAAAAAATAATAATATATTATTATATTAAAAATAATAATGGGATTTTAAATTTTTTCTAGTTATTATTTGCATATATAAATGGAACAGAATTTTGTGTCTTGATTTTTATGACTACTACTTTGATATACTAGTTTATTTACTAGTTTACTATGTACAATAAGTGTTTTTAATGGAGTCTTTGGAGTTTTTTTCTATATATTATCATATCAATAGCAACGACTGATAGTTTAGATTCTTGTCCAATTTGTATCACCTGCAAATAAAACTTTTGATAATATTTAATATCCATTATTCATGATTTTAAAAAACCTTCAATAAAATAGGAATAAAAATAACATACCTCAAGATAGTAATGACTATATACAACAAACCCACAAACAACACTATACTCAATGGTGTAAAACTGTAAACCTGAGATCAGGCACGAGGCAAAGGTGTTCACTTTCCCCATAATTATAACATAAATAATTCCAGGTGCTTTGAGCAGCAATATAGTGCTCCCATTTACACACTATTTGTGTTGTACCTATACTTTTACTGATTTTCTGATGCCACAAATTGCTTTATGAGGATTTCCTAAATGCTTGAAGGGTCAATCTAGTGCCTGTGACTCTGATTAATAGGAACCTAAAGGAGAATAGGAGATTAATAGTACCTATGCCTTGTATCTACTATCACACCAAAGACTAGCTCTCTGGCCCATGGATCAGTTGCAGGTGTCTGAAAGTTGATGTGGCATCACAGTTCAACTAACTTGGGCAATCACTGGGGATTGTGGGCATGTGCATCTAGTCACCACTACTCAGCAAAGTTGTTATTTACAGCTCTAGGAATTTTTACATTTGCCAGTACCAATTTCTGGACAGCTTCTCTGAACCACTTCCCAATTAGTGGGGCTTAGCAATAAGGTTTGTACCAGTTGTGCTTTAGGGTGACAGGTCCAGGTTGCTTTATCAGGAACAACTGTTCCAGCTGTGTTCTAGAGGAAACTGTACCCTGTCTGCATTGTTTACTTCCACCAGTCTTTGATGTGGTGGGTGCAGGTACAAACTGAATCGTTTTGGATTCTTTGCACTAAGTGTTTGCCAGTTTAGGTTCAAGATTAAGTCTGGTGTGCCTACTTTGTGAGAGCTTTTATGGTTCTGATCTGGCTGCCACTACAATTTTGCGGAATATTCAACAGCTTTTGAACTTTGCAGCCCTTTCTCCCCGCTCTGTGAAGTAGAATTTTGCACGAAGGAGACGGTGGTCCGATCCCGTTCGAAATTTTGGGACAACAGTGACATCAGTCAGGCAAAACCGTCGATTAAATATGATGTGGTCTATTTCGTTGTGGAATCGTCCACCGGGAGACTCCCATGTCCATCGTTTAGATTCTGCCTTCTGGAACTGTGAATTACCATGAATGGTCTTGGTCGACATGATGAACTCAGACAGTCTCTCACCCTGTTCGTTCCATTCTAGGCCATGGGTCCCAATATGAAGTTCTTCAGCTGATCTTCTCGGTCCTATCTTGGCATTAAAATCACCCACAATGATCTTGTAGAAGGTGTGGTCTTCTTTATAGAACTTCTCTAGCTCCATGTAGAACTTCTCAATTTCTCTTTCATCAATGACCACCAACTGGGAACTCTTTGGTACTATTGCGGCAACATGGGAAGATGCCATTGTTGACAACATTGACGAGGAATACGATCGACTGGTTCAGCACCTCCATGAATGTGCGAGGAACGCCAAGAGAGAGATAGCCACAAAAAGTCACCTATCTTCGAAAACTCTTGAGCTAATTCGCCAGCGTGGTTTGGCGCATGCCTCAGGCAACCGCAAGCTAACGTCCGAGCTTGCAAAGCAGTGCAGAGATGCGATCAAGGAAGATCTCAAAGAGAGAAGAGCAGAAGTACTGGTAGATGCGGCAGAAGCTGGGAAAAGTATTCGTAATGCCCGCCTGTCCTTCGCCAACTATAAGACCAAGATGACTGCCCTCCGACGTCCTGATGGATCCATCACATCCTCCAGAACGGCAATGGAGAAGATTATCCATGACTTCTACTCAAATCTCTTCGATAGCCATGTCCACTTGCCAACATACCAAATTCCACAGGATGGGTATGTCGTTCCCAACATTCTCCCTTCCGAAATTCAACACGCCATTTCGTCGGTAAAGAAACAAACAGCACCCGGCCCTGACAAGGTCAGACCTGAACACCTGAAGAACCTGCCGTCAGTACTCATCAATACACTGGCTCGGCTCTTCACTCGCTACCTGTCTGAATGCAAGGTTCCGTCCCAATGGAAAACCAGCAGGACCGTACTACTGTTCAAGAAGGGAGACATCCATGACATTGGCAACTATCACCCGATCTGCCTATTGTCTGTCATCTACAAGCTGTTCACTCGAGTCATCCTGAATAGGATTGGCAGAACACTAGATGAAGGACAACCATGCGAGCAAGCAGGGTTCCGCAAAGGATTCAGCACCATCGACCATATCCACACGGTAACCAAGCTCATTGAGGTTTCTCGGGAGTTCAAGATGCCGCTCTGCTTAACGTTCATTGATTTAAAGAAGGCCTTTGATTCTGTTGAGACGGAAGCGGTCATTGAAGCCCTAGCCAATCAGGGCATTCAAGCCCAATACATCAGGATCCTCCGTGAGCTGTATTACGGATTCACTACCAGGATCTCACCATCCTACAAAGAAGTGATCGTTGATGTCAAGAGAGGGGTGCGGCAGGGTGATACCATTTCACCAAAACTCTTCAGTGCCACCCTCGAGAACATCATGCGACGACTGGAATGGGAAGGAATGGGAGTGAAGATAGATGGTCGGCAACTACACCACCTCCGCTTTGCTGATGACATTGTTTTAATAACACCAAACATCAGCCAAGCGGCACAAATGCTGGCCGACTTTGACCGTGAGTGTGGAAAGGCAGGACTACAGCTGAATCTTACGAAGACAATGTTTATGAGAAACAGCCTTGTTCCTGACGCCCCATTTGCTCTCAATGGAACGACCATCTCCGAATGCAACAGCTATGTGTACCTAGGTCGAGAGGTCAACATGACAAATGACCTGGCACCCGAGCTGCGCAGGAGGAAGAGAGCGGCTTGGAACGCCTTCAAGAACGTCGAAGCAATAGCTAAGAGGACGAAGAACCTCCGGCTCCGGGCACATCTCTTTGATTCCACTGTTCTTCCTGCATTAACATATGCCTCAGAGACCTGGGCCCTACGTAAACAAGATGAGAATGCCATTCAGGTCTCCCAAAGAAGAATAGAAAGAGCTATGCTTGGAATATCACGTTTCACTCAAATGAGAGAACGAATCCGGAGTTCTGACATCCGTCGACGATCAAGGATCAGGGATGCTGTCTCATTTGCCAAGCTGTCGAAAATCAGATGGGCTGGTCACGTAATGAGATTTAAAGACGACCATTGGACTAGAGCTGTTACTGATTGGATTCCACGGGATGTCAAGAGACTGCGTGGCCGCCCACCTACCAGATGGTCATACTTCTTCGTCAAGATCATGAACGATCGGTTTGAGGCTCTTCATGATCCCAGAGCGAACAGATGCCATTGGGCTACACTAGCACGCGACAGGGACAAACGGAGACATTACTGGCGCCCGCTCGAGCAAATCGACGACTAACGGGAGTTAAGTGAATCACTGAATCACTTAAGTGATTCAGTGATTCAACAGCTGGAACTTGAAGGGTAAGGCCTATTTGGAGTTGAGGCTATGGGCATGTTAAGGGAAGTTGAGACTGTCAGTCTGTAGGGGTGAAGTTGTGACTACTATTGAGACATCCCCACCCCCTCATATACACACACACATACTGCTGAGAAGAGTTCAGGTGGGCATCTTGCTATGTGTTGTGCACCTCAGGAATGGCTGTTCTCAGAACAGGTCGGGTGTGGTTGCTCTATTTCTTGTTGGGCTTAAAAAATCTTGAGACCCTTTAGCTCTTTAGATACAATACCCCCCCAAAAATGAATTCTGTGAAAAGTCTAACTGCTTAGATAGAGTATTAACTAGAACTCAACTGCCTCACAGGAATTGGGAGGGGTGGGAGGTGGGGTTCTATTGGGGTTCGCGGTTAAAAATAAGTATTGGTAAAGGGAAATGTGTTTGATATTTACATGACTGAGACCTAAACCCGAAAGCTCTGTAACTTTTCCCACAGTGATTCAATAAAGAAATAAATTATAAAAAAAAAAAAGTCTAACTGCTTAACAGGAATCTGTCTGAAAAGTCTAACTGCTTAACAGGAATCTGTCTGGTAGCAGGTGGCACTAGGCCATGACAGTTGAGAAGACAAGCCTATTGACTTGAAGTCAAGACTCTGATGCTATTGGACCTAGCCCATGTCACAAAAAGTGGTTCCCTTCTAGCACCAAAAGTGGCAAAACACAGTGTGGTAGCACAGAGACCTGACTGAGTCTGTGTTCATCTTGGCAAGTGCCAGTATAAAACTGATGATCTGCAAATCCATTGTAATCAGAGAATTCCCACCCTAGGTTCACATTTTTTGTTCAGGTACCAAATTTGTGGTCCCTTTTCTCTTTCAGTCTGCTCTTCCCCTCTAGCATCTTCATCTTACCTCCTGAATTTTAAGGTTCATTTTACGTTTTGTAGTCTTAAGTTCTTCTTCTATAATGGCTGCATTCTTCTAAAATTAGAAGAAAACAATGTTTTAAAACACCTGAATTATAGGGGAAAAATTGTATATAGGTATGAGTTAAAATCTATATGTTTATGGGCCAGAGTGATATTAGAGCAGGTAGGCATTTGCCTTGCATTCAAACTACTAGGGTTTGATCCCTGGCATCCCTAAAGGTTCCCCAAGCAATGCCAGGAGTCATTCCTGAGTACAGAGCCAGAAGTAACCCCTGAGCATCACCAAGTATGATCCAAAAAGCCAAAAAAAAAATGTTTTTCTGGCAATCTATAAATGCTATTCTGAATTTGATTAAAAATACATATTATTGGATATTGAAATAATTGGGTTAGAGCAATAGCACAGTGAGTAGGGCATTTGCCTTAAAAGCGGCCAACATGGCCAACCCGAGTTCAATTCCTCCGCCCCTCTCGGAGTGCCTGGCAAGCTACCGAGAGTATCTCACCCGCGGGGCAAAGCCTGGCAAGCTACCTGTGACATATTCGAAATGCCAAACACAGTTAACAGTTGTCACAATGGAGATGTTACTGGGACCACTCGAGCAAATCGATGAACAACGGGAGGACAGTGATTGAAATAATTATTACAATGATATATCCAAGCTATTTTAATACTTTGATTCATTAGTTCTATTATTTCTCCTCTTTTAGGCCATAAAAAGTAATTATTTATATTCACATCCTATGTAAAATTTAATAACAGGATGAACTGGTAATAGACAGATTTTTCTTCTAAAAGCAATCTTTTTTAGAAAAAAAGATTATTCCTATTTTTTTTCTTTTTGGGTCACACCCGGCGATGCTCAGGGGTTACGCCTGGCTCATGAACTCAGGAATTACTCCTGGCGGTGCTCAGGGGACCATATGGGATGCTGGGAATCGAACCTGGGTCGGCCATGTTGGCTGTGTGCAAGGCAAAAGCCCTACCCGCTGTGCTATCGCTCCAGCCCCAACTATTCCTATTTTTTAAGTTCCTTACCAGTTTCTTTATATCCCGGATGAAGTGGTAATATACAGATTTTTCTTCTAAAAGTAATCTTTTTTAGAAAAAAAGATTATTCCTATTTTTTTAAGTACTCTTTCTACTAGCTTCAAATACTATCTTCTTTGATAAAAGCATAGTTCCCATCATTAATTCTTATTTATTATTAATGGCACTACAATCTGAGATGAAATCATCTTTGCTTCTATCCTTATCTTAAGCTCCTATCTATACCATATTCTAGCATCCATTTCTTTTCAAAATGTCCAGTCCTGATGCTGGAGTGATGGTACAGCAGGCAGTGTGTTTGCCTTGAATATGGCTGATCCAGGACTGTGCATGATCAATCCCCAGCAACCCTATGATTCCCTGAGTGCACCAGAAGTGATCCCTGATTGCGGAGCCAGGAGTAAGCCCTGAGCACCACCAGGTGTGGACCCAAACAAACAAAAACCATTTTTAAATGTCACAATCTTAGGTTGAATTTAATAAAGCCTCTTGCTATTAATGGTTCCTTACCAGTTTCTTTATATCCAACTTGTCCCCTATAACTAATACCCATATACTACTGCCAGATTAATTTTTCTATTTTTATTGTGACACTTCCTTATAAAAACTTTAATCATTCTATATAGGCTCAGGTTCAATCACTAAGTACTCTTAATTTTGAGATTCTTTATAATGTAACTCATAGTCAACTTGTTTTTCACATAGAAATCCTCACTAATATCACACTAGTTTATGAATCTGTTCCCAGTGCACCCCATGGAAATTCTATATTCAAGCTTACATTACAAGAAGAAAACAAGCAAGTGTGAACTTGCAGAAGTGACTTCTCTCTGAGCCCCAGTATTCTGATTAATATGGGACATATCCAATATTATGAAGTTTTTCAAAAATTAAAACAAATAACATAGTTAACATTTATTATATTGTCTGGTTTGTGGGAGAATTAGGTCACTGATCATTCTTTTCTCTTTGACTTGTTTGAGCCATCTGTGTTCCTTCAAATGTCCTATCTCTACACAAACCTTCAGCTCAAGTCCTACCCCTTTTTGAAGTCCACTTATCCTAATCTAGATAAGTATTTCCCCTAAAATAACTTGAACACAAAAATTACCCTAAAATATTCACAATCAAGACACTACTGTACTTTTTCTATGCCCATGTTTTTCTCTATCATGCTATTACTGCTCTCCCGCCAATGTATCACTTCTTAAGCAACACAATTTCATGGCCTAAGTTCACACAGTCATTTTTTACATGAGAAGGATTCTAGAAATACTGCCATCACATAAAAAATCATGTTATCAATGTAGGTACATTTCAAATGCCAAGACTTCTTATATATCACTATCACCTATTTTCAAAAATCACTTTTGTGGGTATATTGCTTTTTCCAGCTAACCAAAGTGAATCTGTATTTCAGAGCTCTGGATTCAAACCTTTGTCTCTGAGGCAATCTCCAACGTAGCAGTCAGCCTTTGTACTTTATCTTGTGCTCTGTCTTCTTCCTCTTTTACATCTCTCAGTTGCTTGCGCAGATTTATCACTTCAAGATGCAACAACTTCAGGTCCTTGGAATGCTCCTCCTGTATTATATTCAGTCGCTCTTTCAGAAAAGCTACCACACAGGAGATCATTATGTCAGAGAATCAGGGAAAAATTTGTTCATAAAGGGGAAAAAAGTCCTTTTAAATTAATCAGGCACCCTGTAACAAGCCCAACTTCAGATTTTATCCACCCAATACCTGTTTTTTGTGGATTCAATTCCTTTTCAGTTTGTAGGCGAAAAATGTTCATCTTCAAGGACTGAATGAGGCTTTCCAGATGGCACATTCGATTTACCAGAAACTCACAGTTCTTCCATAAAATATCTGCTTTTCCTGAACAAATTATTCCATTCTGTTTAGCAGAAATGATACCGGGATTCATGGGTTCTTCTATACATTTTGGAGTTTCCATGTGGCCTCTGTAAAAAGATTTCAATATAATAACATTGTTATGCAATGCAATGTGTACAATTAGTAATTTTCATTACAGAGTCCATGTAGAATTTCTATTGAAATAAAAATTTGATTTCCTAGATAAAAACATCTTTACCTGTTATCATTTCCAAACTTAAACATAAAGAGCACTATTAGGTAAATAGGATGAAACCATTGTAAGATAGGTAAAGATTACTTTTTAATGGTTTGTTGTAATCCAAATTTTTTGTTAACTTTTTTTTATATAAAAACAAGTGATAGGTAAAACATGTTAAATGCTATATCTAAGAATTAGAATTAGCAAGGAGACAATATATCCATGTTTTAGAAAAATTTTAAATGTCATAATAAATGTTCTCACTTTGTTTCCAATATATTTAACATTGGAATAAATTGATCCTTTACTGCTGAAGTTATTTATATCATTGGTGCTATAATAGCAACCATATTTTTAGGTCTTAGTGAGACATTTAGGAATTACATATGCAACTTAACAGAAAATTATGCCATTAAACTTTTTATATCAGTTGCTTAAGTACACAGATTCCTTAGGTCATTGTTAATTCATGACAACAATTTCCTTAGAAGAATAAAATATTTTTTTAGTATTTAATTCTAAATTTATAATATTTTTTAATACTTAAAACCTCTTTTCATTTATAGCAAGTCTAGGAAGTATAATAAAAACCATATTAATGGCACAAATCAAATTTAGATGTCCTTATTATCAAGAAAAATTTTTTTATTTTCAAAAATAAGAACCAAAATTATTTTAATTACACACAAAAATGCATTTTTATTTTTAATGGAGTGTTAAAAGTAAATAGATTACAAAAGCTTTTAAAAATTAACACACTTTAGGAAAATAGTTTTAGCTTTATTACAGGATCACAAAGTTGCAAATCTTTTCAAACAGAAAATTAGTTATCAACCTTTTCTAAATACCTACCTGCCAAACCATCCACAATATGACTCCTCATTAATATTCAGTGAAGTAAGACTCCTCAACCTACAAAATCCTGTTTTATTTTTATCTAGCTTTATTGTTTTTCCTTTTTTACCTTTTATCATCAAGGTCAAACATTATTAAGTCATTCCTCAGAGAACTGGTCTGTTCCTCAACTATTCTCATCCTTTGCTGAAGTACCGTGACTGTTTCAGAAGCTGTAGCATTGACATGGGTTGGAGAGAGGACCGATCTGGACATAACTGTTTCCATGTGTACCTACAATTAAATTCACACTTTAATTGTGCTATATTCTATTATATTTAAAACACTAAATTTTCCTTCCTGTGGGAATATTATATTTATATTCCTAAAGAAAAGGGCTACATAACAACTAAAGAATGGCCAGGTGTCCTCTTTTGGTTAATTGAATGTAGGTGGGACCTTTAAAGGTCAATTTTGTTATTCACTACCTCTTTTATCTCCATGAGGTAAACATAGGAGCAGCTCTATGTGTCAAAATCACAGTAAAGATGACATGAAGCAGAGCTATGACCCATTTAGATAAAGGTAATTATTTTAATTAAAATCTCAACGACATATCCATTATCTTAATTGAGTGATAATGCTTAAACATCTGTTCTCAGAAGCTTTCAAGTATACATATACCATATTATTAACTATAGTTACCAGGCTATACATTAGATGAGAACTTCTTATTTAAAAGGGCAACCTATGGGATGGGAGGAAATATTTGAAAACCATATAGCTCATAAGGGGCTAATATGAAAAATGTAGAAAGAACTCAATCAACCCAATAGCAATAAAGTTAATAATTTAAGTGAATATGGGCAAGAACATTAATGGACACTTGAATAAAAGCAGACAAGTAGCTAATAGGTCAATGAAAACCAACTCAATCCTGAGAGATTAAGGAGGTAAAGGGCTTGCCTTGCACACAAGTAGATTGATCCCAATTTACTCCCTTTCCTGCATGTGGTCCCTCAAGCACTGCCAGGAGCGATCTCTGAGCAAAGAGACAGTCCTGAGCACTTCCAGGTATGGCCCCAAATCAAACAACAATAAAACCACACACAAAAATGAGGCACAAGGGGCTGGAGCGATAGTACAGTGGGTAGGGCATTTGCCTTGCACACTGCCGACCCAGGTTCAATTCCCAGAGGCTCAAGAGCTCACTAGTCACTAGTGAAATGTGAATCAAAACTACAATGAGACATCACTTTACACCTGTTACAATGGTTATTATCAAAAAGACAATAAAGTTTGGTGAAGAGGTGGAGAAAGTGAAACCTTTACATAGTGTTGGTGGGATTGTAAAATGGTACACTCATGACAAAGCAATATAGAATATGGAGGTTACTTAAAAACTTAAACTATCACTGGAGGGATTGTTGTCTGGCTCAGCCCCTAAGGAAAACAGTATGGAGATTTTTTGGAAAAGTAAAAATACAGTTGTCATATCACCCAGCAATTCCACGTCTAGATATCTACCACCAGGATGTGAAAAAAATTATCTGAAAAGACATATACACACCATTATTCATTGTAGCACTTAGCAGAGAAACTAGGATATGGAATCAACCTAGGTGTTCCACAACAGAGGATGTGTGGGTAATGAAAGTGTAGTATACATACACAATGCAATACCAGGCAGCTGCAAGGGATGATGAAATCATGCAATCCTCTGCAACTTGGATGGAACTGGAAAAATATCATGTTAAGTGAAGGACAAATACCAGATGATCTCACTTATCTGTGGTATATAGAAAAATATAACATTGGAATATAAACTATCAACAGGGCTATCTAAATTACCCCTGACCCTAGATTACTGAACCAAGAAGTAGAGAAGGAAAGAAATCAAAGAGGGGAAGTAATGAGGCAAAAGGGAGGCAACAGAGGCAGAGGACTTGAGCACAGTAGTGTAAAGCTGTGGCATACGTTAAATATAATATATAATGTATAATTTATTCATAATATATAGATGTATGTGTGTGTGCCACAGTGCCAACAACACTGAAGAATGAGATCAAAACTACAACAATCAAACTTTAAAATGTTCCATTCAAGAAGGCAGCTTACAGAAGGCGGAGATGACCTAAGGACATTGGTGGAGGGAAGCTGACACTGGTGGGATTGGTGTTGGAAGGTTGTATGACTGAAACTCAAATATGAAAAACAATAAATTGCTATGCCTTAATACACAATTTTTTAAAAACCCTTAAGCCATCACATGACCAGCAATCCCACTCATGGGTGTGTATGTGTATATGTGTATGTATACATAGAAAGGAACTGAAATCAGTTTGCAATTATCTGCAAACCTATTTTCAAGTAATGGAAACAATCTAAGTTTAACAAATGAATGGATAAATTGTGGCACATGCGTACAAGACTAGTAGCCAACCAACAAAAAGAAATCCTATCACTTGTGACATGGATGGATCTTTAGGGTATTATGTTAAGGGAAATTAACTGAAGTAAATCACTGTATGATATCACTTATAATGTGGAATCGAAAAACATCCAATTTCATTGAAACAGAATAGAATGCTGTCTGCCAAGAGGTGGGGAGAGAAGGAAATAGGGTAATGTATATGGAAGAATAAAAATTAATTTTTATTCTTATTTTGTAGAACTTCTGACCAGGATTTATTTTATGCTATGGTATGAAACACTGTCTTTTTAAAATTACTATATTTTAGGTGGCTTGAATAGTTTGTAGTATCAATGTACAAAATTACTGTACCTCACCACCACCAGTGTGCCCGGGAACCTTCACTAGAGTCCCTATGTCACTTCCATTGTGATTTTTCCCTACCCTCCCCTGTTTATAAATTTTGTAACCCAAAACCAAGGGTTTGTCAATATTGTCTATTTCCTTGTTTTGTCTCTTCATATTCCACAAATGAGTGAGATCATCTGGTATTTGTTCTTTTTCCTCTGACTTATTTCATTTATTTCACTTAAAATGAATGCTGTAGTTCATCCATGTGGTTGTGAACTGCATAACTTCATAATTTTCATGATTTTATACTGTTGTATATATATACACATACATATACATTGGCAGACACCATTCTATTGTTTCAATGAAATTGGATTTTTTTAGATTCCATATATATATATATATATATATATATATACCATAGCTTCTTTATATATATATGTACCACAATTTCTTTATCCATTCTTCTGTTATGGAACATTTGAATAGTTTACATGTCTTAATGGGATTTTACTAAGTGCTGCAATAAATAGGAATGCATTTCTCTTTGGATTGTTTTTATGTTTGGGATATAGACATCAATCACTAGGTTGTATGAGGGTTTTCTTCCTTTTTTTTTTCTTGGATAATTTCTTTACTGCCTTCCATAGAGGCTGAACTAGACAATATCACCAATAATCAATGAAAGTTCCTTTTACCACAGTCCCACCAGCACTGGCTGCGAAGTGAGACCGCTAATGCAAGATGGGAAGAAAAGAAAGAGACAACAATGGAGAAACTTCACAAGGGTATACACTCCATTCCACTTTTGGCCACCCATTGCTGCTAACCTAAAAATATACTAGGCCTGGACTGGAGAGAAAAGTATGAAAAAGATCCTTGACAGTTGTCTGTGTCCTTGTCCCAAAATAAGTTGAAAAGTTCTTCTTCCCATATTCTCCTTGCAGCTGGCACATCCATCTGACACATTCTGAGCCAATGAGACTTTCCGCCTATATTTGCAAGTAACTTCTGGGCACACATTTGTTTTTCTAATGAAAAGGACAAAAATGAAAGTACCGTTCTTTCCTTCCCTCATAAGATGCCCAGAGCTCCAAGGGTTCTCACTCAGCCTTATTTTTTATTTGTGGTGCTGGGGATCAAACCTGGGCTTCCTGTGTGTAGGAACCACACACCCCTGGCTCTTTCTGCCAACCTTAAATATAAACAAAACACCAGGATCACTAACGGTTAAGAAACAAGGAAAAGGCCACATATATTCAGAATAACTCACCCCCACAAAAAAAAATAAATAAATTACTACCCTCCAAATTCTGCTTTGATGAGAAAATTTATTTGGGGCTGTAGAATGATAGCAAACAGGTAAAATGCTTGCTTGGCACTCTACCAATCCCAGCTTGGGCCCGAGCTCTGCACTACCAGGAGTGATCCCTTAGCACTAATCAGTAGGAAGTCCTAAGCACAGCTAAGTGTGGCCCAAAATCCAATTTAATTAAATTTAAATTAATTTTCATTTATTCACTTTTTAGCAAGCAGTAAAAGGGCTTTGTACTGATGTGTATAGTACCAGGCAAATGATGGAGAAATAAAGTGATAAAGTGATGCTGCAGGTGTCAGGGAAGGAAATTTTTCTGTAGCAACTTGTTACAGCAGATTCAACCTGGGCTGGTCCACTACAACAAAAGCTCATCTTTGAAAAAGAAACAAAATCTGAACAGGAAACGAGGTACCAGTTTCCCCACAAAATTCTAAATGGAATGCACCTAATACTTTTTTTTTTTTTGCCACCCAGTTGCTCACATCTAATCTTCCCTTGATATTTCCCTAAGGTATTTATGATCTGCATAAAATATTTACACTTGTTTTATAGGGTGTGAGCACACATACCTCCCTCCGCCAACAAAAATGAAAAACCAACTAAATTGCTTCCTAAGCTGCAAATACAGTCTATAATTGTTTGGGTGCCTGTTTGATTTGCTTCATCAGTCAGGTCCACCTAATTTGATCTCCACTGACGCTTCTCAGGCTTTAGGAGGAAAAAAAAAAACCATATGCAAAACAAAACCAAAAACTCTCTCAAAAAAAAAAAAATGTAAGCCCCTGCTTTTCACAGAAAATTCTGGAAAACAGGCTTTCCCAGAAAACCTGCAACCTCCAACAACACATAAGGAAAAGGCGTCGTAGCAGGAGGGGCCCCTCCGCCCGCGAGAAGACTCAGGCCAATGCAAACTTCGCCCCCAAACGTGTTTCCCCGCATAAACCGGGGTTCCAGGGATCCAGAGGACGAGCCCGCAGTCCGCACGGGGCGGGGACCAGGACCAAACAGCTGACTCTCTCCCAGGGGGCTCCGAACCTGGGCTCCCGGCCCACCCCGGGCCCGCGGCACGGCAGCCTCACCCCACAATCCATCTGGCCGCCTGGAGCTGCGGCCGGCTGCAGGCGGGCCAGTTTCCCTGGAACTACGACAGCGCTTTAAAACAACCCGCTCCCCGCTGCAGTTGCTCCAGTACGCAGGCGCGGCTGTGGCAGGGCATGCCGGGAACCGCGGCTTTCCCACCCCGGGAGGGCCCTCCGCTAGGGAGGGACCCAGGCCTGAAGTCGCCGCGCACACGGAACGCCCAGCCCCGTGACCGGATGACGACGGGGCTCCATTGTGCTCGTGGGCAAGGCACGCTGGGATATGTAGTTTCATCCCGCTCACGCCCGCCTCCCTCCTCTCCCTGCCCTACCCGATGGCCCACTTCGGCCCATTTGGCAGTTACAAGTCTCAACTCAGTGAACGTGAGACTTTGGGGGTAATTTGGCGAATAATATATATGTATTCCATACCCAGAGTAGGTGAGAGACCAAGATCAGGGTGTGTGTGTGTGTGTGTGTGTGTTTTGTTTCAGTCGGTATCAAATACTTTCTAAAGGATAGCAAACACATTTTGTTATGGTAACACATTTTGTTATGGAGCATGAAATTTGTTATGCAGCACGAAAAGTGGTTTTAAAAAACAATGCTAGGGGCTGGAGTGATAGCACAGTGGGTAGGGCGTTTGCCTTGCACGCAGAGGACCTGGGTTCGATTCCCAGCATCCCATATGGTCCCCTGAGCATCGCCAGGAATGATTCCTGAGTGCGGAGCCAGGAGTCAGCCCTGAGCATTGCTAGGTGTGACCCAAAAAGGAAAAAAAAAATGCTAAAGGTAAAGGGATATACACGATCATCTTTCAGTACCTGTTGCAAACCACAACGCCCAAAAGGGTAGGAAGAGAGAGAGAGACAGAGAGACAGACAGACAGACAGACACAGAGAGAGACGAAGAGAGAGAGACACAGAGAGAGACTAGGAAGAGAAAGAGGAGAGAGAGAAGTAAAGTGGGGGGCATGATTGGGAGGGAAGCTGGGGACACTGTTGGGAAATATATGCTGGTGGAGGGATGGGGTTGGAGCATCTTATAAAACTAAAACCTAATCATGAGCAGCTTTGTAGGGTCTATCTCACAGTGATTGAATTAAACAAATCTTAAGGGAAAAAATTCTCCTTCAACTAATAACCAAGCCCCTCCTCTACTTTGTCCGTGATGACCAGAGTTAAACACAAGGAATATGCTCAGCATAATTTATTTCTTCCAGTTTTGTCAGGCAGTAAATAATTATGACTAAGTAAAAAGGAGAGAGCATTAGAAAATAAAACGATAGCCTTTTGGGGGGTGGTTTTCTTTCAAAAGTGTGTACTTGCACTCATTTGCAAATCCACTCTGGATAGTGCTTCCTATCCAGAGAAGCGCTGCTGGATAGAAGACAAGTTACACCACACTTCCTCTATGGGGTATAGTTGAAAATCACTTCAGCCCTCAGAACAATGAAAGCAGAGAGAGAGGAGACCTGTTGCTTAGCAGGTGGCTGAATTAATCTGGTTATTCTGTTAATCTTCTGAGGCCGTGTCCACCAAACCACAGCTGAGATACACTCATTAAGCAGCTCATTTGATGAAACACAAATGAGCACTGAGATTGATTTCTTACATTGTCCAAATGAAAGGTCAAAACAAACAAAACTCTAACACTTTTCAAGGAAAGTAGTTTAGAGTGCCCATGCAGGGAATAAATTATTCTCTCAGTTTGTATATTTTCTTTTGCAATGTGGATTGTATGTGGAGATGAGAAATTTGTATTTATACTCCAAATACAAACCATGAGCTTCATAGTTTCCTTGAGTCTCCATGTTAAGTCAGGGTGATAAACTGATTAAATGTACATTTGTTCCCCCTTTTCTTCTGTACACCCATTTGGTAAATCATATAAGAACTTATATTAGGCAATTACAACATTAGAGAAATTTGGAAATCACTCTGTGAGCCAGTTCATTTGTTAACGAACTACTCTTTAGTAATTGAGAATTAATTATATTAAAAATCCACTTTATTCATTTATTTATTTAAATTTTGATCACTCCCTAATTTATTTTGACTTTCAGTTGATTAATAGTTTCATAGTTGTCCCCATGTATAAAAGATCTAGATTTTCCATGAGGGCCATGTTATTTTCATTACTATGGTTTTCCAGTTATCCTGTCCAGTGCACTGTAATACTGTCCTCCCATTGTTCATCGATTTGCTCCTGTGGGCACCAGTAATGTCTCACAACAAATTGTGAGACTTGTTGTTACTGTGTTTGGCATATCGAATATGTCACAGGAAGCTTGCCAGACTTTGCCGTGCAGGTGCGATACTCTCGGTAGCTTGCTGGGCTCTCTGAGAGGGGCAGAGGAATTGAACTCGGGTTGGCTGTGTGCGAGGCAAACGCCCTACCTGCTGTGCTTCCACTCCAGCCCCCTGTCCAGTGCATCCTTCATATAACTACTAAAATGATCTTTTTGTTTAAAAAAAAAAAGGAGGAGGAGGAGGTAGAAGAGAAGGAGGAGGAGGAGGAGAAGGAGGAGGAGGAAGCGGAGGAGGAGGAGGAGGAGGAGGAGGAGGAGGAGGAGGAGGAGGAGGAGGAGGAAAATAGGGATGATGTGGGTTTGGGGGGGTGGTAGATGGCTCAACAAACTGGAACATATGCTTTACATATGGAGTTCTTCCTATTTAGTCCCTGGAGCCTCATGATCCCCAGCACCAGTGGGAGTGCCAGGTGTGGAGTAGCTCCTAGACTCTGCTGGATAGAAGCCCAAGATAAAACAAAAAAGTGAAAACATAAAAAGAAAAATCAGATCAACTCAAACCCTTGTTTAAAACCATTAAGTTGGGGCTGGAGAAATAGCACAGCGGGTAGGGCGTTTGCCTTGCACTTGGCCGACCCAGATTCGATTCACAGCATCCCATATGGTCCCCTGAGCACCGCCAGGGGTGATTCCTGAGTGCAGAGCCAGGAGTAACCCCTGTGCATTGCCAGGTGTGACCCAAAAAGCAAAATAAAATAAAATAAAATAAAATAAAAATAAATAAAACCATTAAGTTACAGGCAAATAGCATAGGATTAGGGCACATGACATGCTTGCTTCTGATCTGGGTTCTATCTCCTATTCCTGGCACTACATGCCCCATATGGCCTCCTAGTGTCACTGGACTGGATGGAGTCCAGGAGGCTCCCAACCATTGCTTTGGGTGCCAGGGAGGCTCCCAAGCATTGCCACGGTGACTTGGTAGTCCTTGGGCCCTGACACTGTTCTCTTGTACAGCTTGTTTAGAGTGGTCTGGTGTCCAGGCCCCCTGAGCACTGCTTGGAAGGACCCTCCTCCTTCCAAACACAAACATTTTACTAGTTCCTCCCTATTAACTAGTCATTTTTCTGTGAACTAGAGGAAGCACAATCTTCATAGCTTTAGCCGAATCAATCAGCCTCATCTGCACCTAGATTCCCCAAGAAAACTTTGAATTGCGGCGTATTTGTGTGTCTTCATACTTAAGGTTCTGTGACTTCTGAAGGAAGATGCCTTCCTTTTGTCTTCTGATGAACTGAAAATTCTAACTTCTTTTGTGAAACCATTTTATTCCCTTCTAAAGTACCGCCCAGCATTATAACTGTCATTGTGTCTTTTCTACCCTTAATTAGATACTAAGGTGCTTGATAGTAGTTTTTTTCCTTTTTGTTTTGATCTCTTCTTTTTATTTAAACACCACAAAATACCTAGTACACAGTACAGGCTTAGCTAGTTGTCAAGTAAACAAATTACTGAGCAAAATTTGAATATTTCTACTGACAGGGCATTGTCATTCTTCTAACTATTATATTCTATATGTAGTCCAGGAGGAAAATGATATACCTTCTTCCAGAGCTGGTAATGCTTTGATATTAAAATAATACAAGTGACAGCAAAGTTACCTGCAATTGCTTCCCCTTGTTTGGAAATGTACTTCACAGAAATAGTAATGCAGACAAGAAAATCTAAGTTTTCATATCTTGTTGAGACAGTGGAGAAATAAAAATGGCTTATTGGACTGGAGAAATGGTACTGAGTTTAAGGAGCTTGGCCTTGAATCGTGTCGATCTCTGTTGAATCCCTGGTGCCACATAAGGTTCCTTGAAGACTGCCAGGGGTCACTACTGAACATAGAACTAGGAATAGACCCTAAGCACTGCCAGGTGTATCCTCCTAAACAACCCAAAAGGGAAAATTTATTAACCACTTCCTCACCATATTTAGGCAATATAGATTTTTTGGCAATGTAGTTAACAGAGATTAAAATTTAGAATGTTTTTAAATGAACAGATAATTCTTCCCAGGGCTGCAATGATAGAGCTGTTAGTTGAGTGAATCTTTGTTAATAATGTTTCTTAATTTTCTTTGTTATTTAATGCCACCAACAAAATTTTGTAGTCGTCATTTTCACATCATTATTTCGATAAGAATTAAAAATAAGGTCATGATTATGGTCATGTTGCTGCAGCTCTATTACACATTTCCTCTGTTTTTCTTAATAGTGTGGTATATAATTAATAAAATAAAGATAGTTTTGTTTTCATTATTTTGTTATGTCTTGGAGGCCACACCTGGCAATGTTTAGGGGTTATTCATGGCTCTGCACTCAGGAATTACTTCTGGTCCTCTCGGAAGACTATATGGAATGGCAGGAATTGAACTCAGGCTGGCCACACACAAGCAAGTGCCCTACTGACTATACTATCTGATCCCTGTAGGCAGAGTTTTTTTTAATTTATTTTTTATTTATTTTATTTGTATAAAGTAGTTTACAATATTTTATTACATTTAATATTTGAACACCAATCCCACCACCATTATACCTTTACAACACCATATTTTGGATGATTCCATCCCGAACCCCAACCCCTGCCCCCAAAAAAGAACCGAATAATTTATCTTGTATTGTTTGTTACGAATAAACTGCTGAAAGTGCACCAAAAAACTTTCCTTAGGGGAAAGTGTGTGAAGATTATCGTATTTCACCCAAAGACCATTAAGCCCTTCTATAAGAGATTACTATTATGTTGTCAAAGGTTGAGTCTTGTGTGCTTTTTATGTGTGTGTGTGTGTGTGTGGCTTAAAAATAAAGTCTAGATTATGTCTGTAAAAATATATTTCCCTCTAAGATTGTTTCCCTCTAAGATTGTCTTCTAGTCTAAATCTCACCAAATGTGGTGTGCTATTCTTCAAGTATGAGTGGTGTGAGGTATCAGATGTTGCGTGGCTACATTTGCAGTAGCACACTCCAGGGATAGGTTCGCTTGTGGGTGAGGCTCAACCTA